TATATGCTGCGCCCCGCAGGTTGTCAAATCCGTTTCGCGCTACCTTGCAAGATCTCTCTGGCAAGGCCGACCGTGTCTCGCAGGAGTTCGCCCAGTTGTATCCTCTCTGTACCCAGAACAGCCAAGCAACACAGTGTTGTCCCTCCTACTAACCAAAGTACCTCGTCGTTCTCTGTGTGGGTTCAAGCATGCTGGATCCTGCCATATCATTCGTGTTTTGTTTGACTTCGTCGTTTCTGTGATCTTTGACCCAGCGATATCCTCCTCAACAGAGCAGCCCGAGAGCACCCCAAGGGTGTCCTATCCCACGACCCTAGTGTCCACTGATTGTAGGATCGGTTTCGCAGTCGTGTGTCGGGTGGTTTTCAAATTGTTCCCTTGTCGCCTGTGCGTGGGGTCAGGGGGTCCTGACCCCTGAGCTCTCGCTCTAGCAGTAGCCCTAGCCAGCGGACAGTGCTGGCTGGTGTGACTCTTCTCAGCTCTGCTAATGCCATCGGGCAAGGCATTCGCAGGTTCCCAGCCGGCACCACGGGGAGGTGAGAGTCGTCGCCGGCCACCCTCCTATACAGTCATTCTCGAAATCGCCTTGACCAGTTTACACTGAGATTCTCTTTCTCGGCCCCACGGCCAAGGCTTTAGCGCAGATCATTAATTGGTCAGTTCTCAGGAAGTTGAGGGCCGTTGTGCAATAAAGCCTGTATCGTATTGTACCTGCCCCTCGTAAAGATGCGCGCTACGACTTGAATGTGGGGTAAACGACGATAATTACTGTATTAGATAAGGTGCATATTACAGTAGTGGGTGGCGAGTCCAATTAATTATCTGCGCCAGGATCTTGGCAGTGGGGCCAGGAGAGAGTCTCTCAGTTTGTAGTGGTCAAGGCGATTTCGAGAATCACTGTAAACCTAGATCAACTTCAATTCATGAAGACTGCTGAATTAAATTCAGTATCGGCTACATCCAATTCAATTACACCTTCCGCGTGCCAGTGCTGGCAGAAATCCAGTAAGTGATTAAAAATAATACCTCAAATGGCAAACATTCCGGCGGAGTACGCGCCATCATCTGCAATCCCACGCATCCAGGCCTGCGCCCGAAGGACAGGTTCATTCTTCGTGCTGGAGAAAATTGAATCCATCAATCTTGCCTGGAAAAAAAGCGATCTGGACTAGTGACAAATCATCACGGATGAAATTATGATTACAGCATAAATATTTTAAAGGGACTAGGACTCAAAGGGTGCTGAGAACAGTGGTATGAGAATTCATGCATGTGAGCACGTCATGACGTATTGTTATCACATTGCGGCCTGGTGGCCTTCTCTCCATGCCTCATCTTTCCCTCTCATATAAAAATAACAATACACACTTCTGAACTACAACAGAATGGGATGGTGGAAGGCCAGGAACTTGATGGATTGAGAATAATGCCAACCGTCATAGGACGCGGCGTTGATAGCTCGACAGTAATCAAGTATAGATACTGCCACAGAATGTTTCTCTCTGCATCAATTCATGAGCGACCCTGTTGCTGATCCTCATCTATGCGATATGGTAAACGGGCTTAGATTGAAATATGCGTCGTTATAGAGCTCCATTCCGGGTAAGAAGCTGATAATTGCGGGTGTGGAGAACATGTTGGGCTTCGCGTGCCTTCTGTCATGATAGCATATAAGAAACCTCTGAAGATTCTCTTCTCCCAGCCCATGCAGCTCACTTCGTACATAAAGAAAATGGACGCACCAGATCGCTCTTCATCGACCGAGCGACCAATTAAAAGACAGCGGCAGCGCCCCAAACACTCTGGGGATGACACTACCGCCAACCTGCATGGCATATTCCGAGAACCTTCGTGGCGTGAAAGTATCGAGTTCAAGGTCAGAATCTTTCCAGTAGCAAAATGGGAGCCTAGTTGACATGTAATAGAACACCACTGGCGCTGCCAGTCTTTTGCCAACTGAGGCCAAGCAGATTTTCCGGATGGGCTCTTCCATCTCGAGACCAGCTCTCGACCTACTCGATCTATTCCTATGTCTCTGGCAATGTTATGTAGTCAAATCTGCTGAGAAAATCCGACTTGAGAGCAAACGACGCCAATTTTCGCTGTCTAATGACGAACTAAAAACAGGAAATGGTCTTCTACAGCAGCGTTGTAATGAGCAGGCCCTGGTACTCTGGGACCGTGGGCGCGCAGCCCACGCTGTTCAGAATGGAATTGTGTCGATATTACGGACATGTGACCGGAATTCTGGCCAGAAATATTGTTTCTGAGTGTTCAACAAACATTGGTGAATATGTATGAAAGCGAGGACGCTGGATGATCTTTTCTTACGATGAACGGGGATGACCGTTGAGATGCCGATGCAGCCGAGAGTTAACTCCCGTTGAGCTTGTGACTACCCATACCTTGCTCAAATAGAAGTATCGATGGACCTTTGATTAGTACGATGTCTGGCTTTGATAAGAAGGTTAAATTGGCCTATTGCTCGCTCCCTTTCTAACCCGCAAGTTCGTCGATCGAATACCAATGATCCAGTTCTGTTCTCTCCAACTCCTTGAACTCTCGACGTCCGAGGAAATGAACCATCTGGCCCAAATTGGTTGGTAAAGTCCATTCCACATCTCTCAAAACGCATACTTACACCAAGCAGACTTTGTTTCCGATGATGATGTCCACGCAGCCTGGCAGGAGTCCTCTAACGTACCCGCTGTACCCCCCTGCCTTGCTACCGACCACCGCGGATTGAAGCAAACTTCATTCAACTTATCAGGGGTCTCCAGTTCTGAAATTTACGGGCTATCTTTGATCGACTGTGTTTTTTATCCGAATCATGAAACCCAACAAAGCTTTCCGTGGACAGGTCCGGATCCTCTGTCTCCGTCTACCAAGGCGGAGGATATTTTTATATACTTTTCTGCCTTCTTGCTATCAGAGGAAGTCTACTGGGTGGAATTTCGTCTTTCAAGATTTGACTCCCACAGCGATGAGTTGATGGGTGAGCATCTCTTTTTCCTACCACGATTCGAGACAGCGATGGGGAATCTTTCTCGGGTGCGTAAGCAGATTCTCGACATCATCTCTCAAGTATGCTCTGCAGCGCAGACAGCCCGTTTCCGACTGTCCATGTGGCCACGCTTGGAGTCCCTTCCCTACACTCAGCAGTTCATGATGTCGCCGCACTCCACTCTGCCTACATTGCCTTGCCTCGATCCGGGGGTTTTCGTCCACAATCTGCGCGGAAATTTCAGATAGAAGTGGCAATTGAACTAGTAATACAGAATCGGACTGCAACAAATCTGTTCCGAGAAGTAGTAGGCTGCAAATACCAGTGCCGAGATACTCGCCTTGCCGAATGAAATTTTTGAGCTCTAATGCCAAAGATGAAATCAAATAGTTTCGAGAGAACATCCGCCACAAGCAAGTTGTTTGATGCACTCTATTCTTCCCCTATTCTTCAAGACCCTTGTCACTAGGACTCCACATTTGGTGCTTCAATGAAACAAAATCACATTGTTTCTGCCTTATTTTGCTAATTTCGGCTCTCCGTATATCAGATACTCCTTAATTTTCCATTCCTCATTTCATTAGAAGAGGAGAGAAGTAAACTGATATCCATGGACCTGTATCTTCATTCCAATTGTCTGTATACTGCCTGCGCAAGCCCCTCGATATTTCCTGCTAACGAATACAGAAAAGAAACCCGAAGCTCATGAGGCTGGTCAAAATCACAAGGCCACCAAACACAATCTGTCCAATAGCTCCATGGTATATAATGCTGCAACGAGGAACGACGCTTCGGTCGTCCAATGCTGCAAAGACGTCAAGAAACCCATGCATCTGGTCCATAATATATCCACCCAAAGACAACACAGCTACTCCGAAGAAGAACTGGATGAAAAAGAAGTTATCAACAGAGCTTCTCCTTTCTCGTATCCACCTTGGGTGGGCGAAAAGTGTAGCGCCAAACACGGAAAACAGAGCCGAGGAAATTGCGACAATGATCATTGCGCTGCGAAAGTCACTCATGAGCTTTTTGAATGTGTCGTACAGGATTGGGTTGCTGGATTCAATGAGGCCAGCTGTTGCTTGGTCTCGTAAAACATCTGCAAAGCGAGCAGTGGCGGAATTGAATGCAGCGACGAGTAGCCAAATCGCGGTGAGGAGAAAGACTCCTAGGCGTAAAAGAATACTGGATGCATCGGTATACTGAGACATGGTGTAGCCAAATGGGGAAGTGGGGATGAAAAACTGCCAAAAGCTTAAGCTGCAAGATTTCAGGGGCTTGGGTAAAGCTCAAAATGAGTAGGTAAAAGGAGTTGGAACAATAGGACAATTATCCGGGAACAAGCATATAAATAGTTTTTTTAGATTATAAAGGCATCGGCAAATGCATCATCATTGCAAGCTTACAAGCCACGATAGATTGGTTGCCTACGATTCCTTTCTTGCACCAGCCTGTCAATAAATACCCGTTATAGCACCAGATATCCTAGGAGCAGATAAGGAATACCATTTATCCCTAGCTATTGAGACAATCGGTTGGAAGGATCATATTAGCATTCCCCAGAACTGTAATTGCTCCCAGGAATTGGACGTATCTTTATAGGAATCATTTTTGAAATGGCAATGCTTAGAACGAATAGGTATTTTTGGTACCCACAGCTCGCATATTCAGCTTCATGCAAAGATTTGATTTCCTCTCTTACTGTATGATGAGTGCCCTGAACAGTTGGTGTATGCTCAAAACTTTTACATTGCAGTAAATCACTTACTTTCGAGGGGACGGCCTTTGGCAGCGTTGTACAGAAAGAGATGAAATGCTTTAGCTACATACCCGAGTAGCGAGTGTCTAGTAGTTTGAGATATGTTCCAGTAGACCTATTTGGAGGTAGCGATTCTTCGCTGGCTCGGAACCAGAACTATGTTCCACCTGTACCTAATGAACATCACCAGTCTCGTTTGAGTGGCGATTCCAAAAGTATGCCCGAAAGCCCGAAAAATTACTCAAGACCCGCCAGACCGGTCAGCTCCCCGCGAGAGTACTGGCTCCAGTCGTTAAGAATGCTGATCAATCGCTGTCGAGACAATTCCAAATCTCGGTCCAAGAGAAGCAATCGAGACTGCTGCTCGTCACGGTGGAGTTGAAGTCCATCTCTTTCGTCGTTCAGATGCATGTTAGCCTCTCGAAATGTTTAGTTGTCACTTTCGAGGCTCTCGCCATCGAGGTGCTTGGACACGCATGACCTGCAAAGACGTCGGTAGAGACCCAAAATTCGCGCTCCTTGGAAGGCTAAATTTGGATCTTCCCGCTCAAGATCTGTCAAGTCCCTCATAACGCGCTGGTAAGGTTCGTTCACCGACATGACTCGCTCGTATGTTTCCTACTGCGAGTAGAAGAAAAATCATCAGCCAAAGTATTCAAAACATCTGAGAAGGCATCGCGGCCTCGCTACCTACCACTAGGGGGGTTCTTCTCGGGGTTTCGGCCAACGCCGATGGGACTGTCGCACTCAAGCGTTTGATCCAACTTGAATTCAGACAGCTGGCCTTCTTTCATGCCTTGGCCGACTCGGACGTCATTTGTGATATCCATACCGGCCATGATGAAAAGTTACTTTTTATTTGGCGGATGAGGGGGCTGTCAATCTCTCCTTTGTAGACTTATCAAAAACATGTGTAGAAGTAAATTACTTCAAATTTTGTATTCGTGAGCCAGGATCATATTCAAGGCAGTTGATTCTTGCGTCGTTGATAATTCAGTCATGACAGGTTAAACATGATGCATCCATGGTCAGGCCCAGGATTCCAACGGTAGACCAAAGATCGGTCACAGCTCTAATTCACCAAACTCTCAACTATTAAATTGATTGACCGATATTTTCGCAATCAAAACTGTGACTCATCGAATACTACCAACGCCTGTTTGTTGTATTGAGAAAACCTCATCCTTGATGACCAGATTGTACTGGCTTTGAACGGCCAACTCCCTCCATCCATTCTATGCGCGTTGAAATATGCATGTTTTAATGTGGCAAGCCTCTTGGTCTGCTCGATCTATATTTGAGGGCTGAATGCCCTGAGAATTTGAAGGTTCCGATTGAAAATTCCTATTGACTGAAATCCTTTTAACAGGAAATCCTCAACATGTATTTCCCATTTTCTCTTTTTTTCCAGCTACTCATTCTGGAAAGCACTGTTGGAAATAACATCCCGAACCACCGATATGCGCAACTTCGTCTTTGGGATAGTTGCCATTGCTATGGCAAAAGTTTAGGCGAAGAAGGTATCTATGGCAGCCAGCTCGGTTTGTGTGTGCAATCGCGCGACAATAATACGATTCATTCTGTCAATGTAGAATTTATCGACATAGGGTGTTCAGGTACGTCACTACAGGCCCCAATGGAGGAATTACAGCTAAATTCTTCCAGTCCTCGTTTACAATGACAGATACTGTCAGATTGGGGAGGAAATCGCCAGACACAACACATGTAGGACCGACGAGCAAGGATATATGTCGCATCGGCTGCTCTGCGATACAAAATTCTCCATACTGGGTGCATATCCCCTATATCAACTATAGTGAGGGCAACTACCGGAGGAAGCGCAAATTAAAAGTGCGACATGAGCTTAGCACTAATCATGGCTTCACGCTGTGAAGTATAACTCTCTTGAAAATGAGACAAAGTCTGAAATTCGAAAGTAATTCGCATCTACAGATTTTTTTTTGAGATGTGAATCTGTCGACAATAGTGGAGCAGTTACTTACAGCTGTCTCCTATTGGTTTCTTCTTTACGCCGCTTTCCTTTGCCTTTTGTATATACTTTTGGGGCTCCGAGACAACACAAAGTCACTCTCGAGTATCCCATGGGTCCTACGAGACATGGAGAAGTTGGTTCCATCCACATATCGACTGAGCCAATTCTGCAGATGGGTATTTAACATACCCTCTACCTGCCATTCTTTTGATCTCAATCAACCAATCCTATATGTCAATTCTACTGATTGGTTCCCCTTCTGAAAAGATATCCCCATTCTTTGCATACTATGCCGTACTGTATTAGCCTGTTCTGACACCTTGATTATGTTTGGTACGGAGTCACCGTCTTGGTTTTGAAGACAACTTTACAGATATCGTGAACGAGTCCGCGGCAGAAATGACCCATACATTACACAATACGGAACACCGACATAGGTCTTGAATGAATCAAATTGCGCTGGTCAGATTCCTTCCCACCTTTACCGACAGAACCTCAGGGCTTGCTTCTTAGTAAGCCCCTCTCTTGTGGATTCTGTCCAAATCGAGCTCCAGTGGTAATTTACCACTGACATAATATCCTCTCCACTACTATTTGTCGACGATGGATCAATCGGTAAGGTCTGGTACGTAGCAATGGATTATCGCTAAACAGCTGTTCCCTTCTAAGTACATCCGTCCGCCTGTTCCATACATAGTTACTCAGACTCACGGGCTTGCTTCTTAGTAAGCTCCTCTTCTGTAGATCCTCTCCGAAACGGGCTCTAGTGGCAATCAACCACTGACAGCTGAGCTTACCGATAGTTCCTGTTAAGGGGTCTATCCTGATTCGACACTTTTCCCCCTGCTAGGCCAAACGAAGGGTTGGGTGGACCGAGTCAAGACACTTAAAGAATCTAAGTGAACATCAAAGTGAACAAAGCGTGAGACCTCCGGGCAGCGACAGGGGCTCAGGCGAATGGACTCGCGCTCCGCCTGCAATGGCTACCGGGACACTGTGGTACAGTAATGCAGGAAACGACGCAGCAAGATGGCTGAGTAGGAACGCCGCGGGGCTCAGGCAGACCACACCCCTTTCTGCCTCGTACTCGCAAGGAAAACAGGCATTGATCTGAAGCAAGATTGTTGTTATCCAGTGGAGGCAAGCATAGAATTCCACCACCAAAGGTAGTCACCCGCGAAGAGTTGACAACACACGGCCGGCCAACTACATGAGAAGGTTTTACATCATCGTACAAAATGATCGTACAAACAAAAGCCAAGAGAAAGTCGTTGCGGACGTCAGGTCCGAAGCAGGGGAGAACCACTTAGGCCGCGACTTGTCTCCGTTCTCTCGAGCTCAAGTCACGTTTCATTTCCCCGTTGGTAGCATAGCCGCCGTGCCAAAGAGCCTGTTTGACAGTGATGGAGCTGGGGAGATTCTTGAGATCAGGCCTGAGGTATTTCATTCTTGCGGCACGCCACCGACGCGCTTGTCGTCCTATTTGGCCTTTGCGGGGTTTGACTAGCTTCGTTTCACTAGAATATTCATCGGAAACATCTTCTGGCTCGGCTCTCGTGCCCTTGGATCTTGATCTTGCATTATTGATGGGTTGTTGCACCGAGGGTAGGGTAGGGTTTATAGGCGGCGGCCCGGCGGGCAGCGGCGGGGGAGCGGAATGCACTCCGCTATCATGATAAAGTTCTGACGGCGGCGGTGGAGGCACTCTGTGCCCAGCGAATCTGCTTTCTGTCATGAAGACCCGACGAAGTTGATTGTGCTGTTCAGTGTATTTTTCGAAGTTCGCTGCAATGATCGGCCCCAGAATGCTCTTGTTCGGGCCTCGGACGAGTGCGAGGTGTTCCATACGATTTTTCAGGGTGGTATGAGCACTAGCGAAGGTGCGAAGAATCAGGTCGATCGCCCTTGTGCCGCCAGAGATATCGTTGTCCGTATTGTTAGGATCTTCAATAGTGAGACGATCGGGGGGTTCCAAATGATTTCTGTTGTGTTTCATGAGTCAGATAGTGCATAAGTGGACCATTTGAACCTATCCCACCTTGCTGAAATATCCCGGAGGATCCAAACAGATTGCCGCTTGATTGTATTGAAACTTGTTTCCGTAGAAATTAAAGAATTCCATGAGAATGCTGCCAGGGTTGAGCTGCATATGTCCTTTGGGCAGATGCTGGAGTAGACTTGTGACCAAGCAAGTGACGGAGAAGCCTCCCAGTCCACCAGTCCGGACTTCATTGAGGCCACGGATCAGCAAAAACTGCTTGACCACTGACAGAATAACGGGCATTATGGGGAACTGCTCCTTCCATGTTTTAAATGTCTCGTTGGCCATCAACCCACTGTTGTTGTCAAAGGACATATCAACACGCAGCCCAGTCAGCCGGTCCACGAACTTCAGGATCGGGACCCGAGCATGGGTAACGCACTCGATCGAACCAGGAACAGCAATATTGGTACTTTCCAGGAAGCCCGAAATTGCGTTTAGTTTTCCTTTCCTCTCACCAAATGAACGCACTCCTGTGCGTCTGAAATTGTCGGACAGTAGTACCAGATCAATATCCGCGGTAGGCAGGTAGATACCAGAGGCAGAAGAGCCAAAAGCATGGATTTCAGTGCCAGCGTATCGACTTTGAAATGCAATATTCAATCGCTCGACGAGATCTCTACGGACAACGTTTCCAAATTCCTGTGGCTTGGCCCAGTCATAAAAGCTGAGAATCTCGCGATCTAACCTAGTGCGGGTTTAGAAAAGGAAAGACTCAATAGCGATCGAGAGGACAGGGGAAGTACAGACTGAAATTCTATGTGCAAGGAAGACGGAGTGGACTCAAACCAAGGCGTACCCGTCTCTTGGGACGGTGGTCTCCACTCCTTGATAACTGAACCGTCGCAGTTGTACTTGCTTGTAGGCTTGCCGGTCTTCCTAACGTGGCGTTTGATCGCACCCCTCCGGGTTCGCTTTCGACTCGGGTCGGCAGAGTACACATTTTCCTGGCTTGTTGGCCCTTTGAGGGCGATATCGGAGGCGTTCTCGGGAGCGTTGCTCTGATGCTCTGATTCTGATATCATGCTGAGGGAAACGAAATCCAAGTTCTCCCTGAGTTCATCTGTCTCAGCTGCCTTCGCTTTATCGCCAAGTCTTGGTTTTTGAATCAGCTTGACAACATCGAGCCTTTGATTCGTTTGTTTGCTTCGTAAGGGTATCGCAGTGTAAGGATCCGGGTTGGACCATCTCGGAACAGAGGGGCAAGGGTTTGAAATTGGTGTAGGGTCTTGGGATTCATCAACACTCATTGTGCGCTTCTTGTGTGGTCGCTCAGTGTCGGAGGCATCATCGGACGTGTCCCTTTTGGTCTCTTTGCTATTGCTCGAAGCAAGCAAGGAGGCGAACTTGCGTGGAGGTTTGGTCTTGGTTTCACCTTGGAGTTTTTCCGGTGTGCTATCACTCTTTCTAGATAGCAGCGGTCGGTCTGCAGTGGGAGTTGATGGATTCGGACGCGATCCACGGTAGTTTGGATTCCCTCTGAACTGTAAGGCTGACATTCTGGAGGGTCGCAATCAAGCAAGAGATGATCAGTGAACGCAAATTAGACGCGTGCAGTATTGCTTATGAAGGCGGTGGGGAAATAAATCAAATTGGATGGGCGGGTCGGAAGCAAAGTGATCTCTAGTGTCGAGGCTGAGGCTTGCGATTGATTTTCGATGCACGCGCTACAAATCTTTGGCGTGATGCACAATTATTTCCCTACCAAACAAGAATAGCAGGACCCTTTGACTCAAGTCATGGGGATCAATTAGCTTCACAAATACCGGGGAACCATTACTCACAAGGACCGTCGATCAGGAGTCAACCTCCAAACATTTTCGACAAATGAGTTTTCGATGAGCCATGGAACCGCCTGCTCGGTGAAAGATGATATGTTCTATTCGGGATTGTTGCGAAGAGGCCCCCCCTTGCGTCGGGTCCACGATATTCCGTGCTTGTGATCGCACACAGATATCGCTAGTATATCCTCTCCTTCGAAAGGAATATCGCCTTTTCGAGGGGGAGTTGCGCTCTCTTCGCAACGGTTTTCTTCCCGCCCACCGCAGACCCCCTCATTTATGTACTAAGTATGCTTCCGCATAGCTTTGCTTCCTCCTAAGAATATACGGAGTGCTACGGGCCCGCCTGCAGCCCTTACGGCGCTGTAGCCTTCTGCCAAGGAGACCTACATCACCATGTTCAGACTGCAGGTGCCCCGTACGGGCCAAAAATATCTCACTCATCTCTATTTGTAGCAGTGTAGCAATGGTTGGAATAGAATATTTTTTATGACTTTAGACCGAAAAAGTGCAGTCTGCCTCTACATTTTTAGTCTCGGAATATACAAAAGTGTGGATTCCACCCCGTCTAACTTCATAGGAGGGCCACTCATAGCTCGAGGGCACATAAAAAGAAAGATATATTTTTACTCCTTCACGTCATTCATCTTAAAAATACGTCTTTTTGATTCTTCACAGCTCTAGCAATGGGCTCGGGGCTCGAGGAAGCGCGACTTGAATCCCGGGAGTAGGATTGGAGGCATGCCGAATCATGGCATCCTGTGACTCCTCAGCCAGGGTATAAGTATCCAGTCAAATCTGTTACCATAACAACCCATCGGACTATCGATTAACGTACACCCGCAAAGGAAGCCTGCGAAATGACCCCCAACAGATACGTGTCATCCACGGCCCTCGCCTCTCATCTCGGTTCCCGGCGCTACCGTGAGTCTACTGTGCACAACCAAAATATTCCTACTAACTTTGAATAGCTTTCCTTGAATATTCAAGATATCACCAAGCAAGAACACCCTTCTATCTTTTATTTTGCGAAATTGAGGAGCAGGTATCGCTACTTGAAAATCGTGAACGGAGTCTCATTTCTGAGCTCGAACGTCTGCGCAATTATTCATGGACCTTGTACAAAGGCGGTCCAAAAGTTTGAAGACATCGCGCTATTTTTTTAGCGCGAATTTCGCGTCACCCCCCACCCATCTTCTTCAACTACCCCCTACACCACCAATATGCGTCGGTTTGGCACTGAAATAAGTGGCAATCGAAGGCCAGGGGGTGAGCTTTCATCTGAGGCCCGCGCAGCTATTATATACGCTCATGAATGTGGTGTATCGCCTACTAAAATGGCTGCTGAGTTCAACGTCGCACGCTCAACAATATACTCTACAATCAAACGATTCCGAGAGCACCAAACGCTCAAATCACTGCCTCGTTCAGGTGCCCCTAAAGTCTATAGGTACTCTACTATCAAATACACTTGTTTACTTGCACGCCGTGAGCCTTGGCTAAGCCTTAGTGAGCTGAGCGCCCGTATACCCAGTCATCCATCTCGATCAACAATCAAGCGATTCCTACGTTCAAAATTCCTCCAGCGCTATCGAGCAAGACGTTGTATCCCAATTTCGAGGGAGAACGCCCGCAAAAGAGTCCGATTTTGCCGAAATTGGAGGGCTGAACGCTACAATTCCCAACTACAAAGCTTCATCTTTTCCGACGAATGCAGCGTTCAACGTATCCCTAATTTAAACGGCCAATACGTTACCCGGCTTAGAGGAGAAGCTTACCGGCAGGGAATGGTACAAGTAAAGGTTCATGTGAAAGATATTTGTCAAATGGTTTGGGCTGGAATATGGCTCGGAGGGCGTACAAAACTTGTGATTATGGAGCGTGACTTTTCAGAAGGACAGCGAGGTCGCGGAGGTGGTTATACAACGAAATCCTACCTGAAAGCGCTTGAAAAAGGGTTTATTGAACACTATGAACCTGGAAATATATTTCAGCAAGATAACGCTAAAATCCACCGCTCCTACGTTGCTCAGCGATGGTTTGAACGTCATGGTATACATGTCATGGAATGGCCGCCACGCTCGCCAGATCTTAACCCTATTGAACCTGTGTGGCGTATGCTCAAACGTAAATTATATGAGCTCTATCCTAATCTACTACATTGTGGTACATCTGAGGCAGATTGGAAGCTATTTAGAGAGTGTATATCGGAGGCCTGGGATGTACTAGATCAAAATAAAATTGATAGTATAATTAGATCAATGCCTCAGCGTGTAAGCGAGACTCGTAAGGCACGTGGCTACTATACTCGGTTTTAGCGATTGAAATTTTGTTATATATTTTGTAATTGATTATTCTATATTATAGCAAAATTTGGTGCAATAACATTGCATATTGCATGCAATATATATATTTGAATGTAGGGTGGGTAAAATGGCAGTATTACCCGATTAGGCGGTGTCTTCAAACTTATGGCCCAAGATGGTATCATGAGTACAATAAGGCAATGGGAGAGCTGGAGCAGTGCAAGATGCACCAGTGATCTGGGCACGGATATCAAGAGACTATTCATTGCGTCGTGAATAACGCTCTATTTGATGGCCATGAGGCACTGGCAAGACGAATCCCAGTTCTCCTCTCAAATACAATCTTCGCAAGCACAGCCCCATTCTCGTCCTCAGAGGAGTCGCAATTTATTAAGTATCCATGCGCGTTTTGCACCCTTCGTAGTGGCCCCGTTCTCTTTGAGGTATGATCTAGTAGCTTGGAGAACCCTTGGATTGAGCACTACCAGCATAGATCAACCATTTCAGCGGCGAGCAGTACTGTATATTCCATCCAGAGAATTAACCTTGGCACTATTCTTCAGCGGAATTCTAGTGGCGGACGCTGACTAATCTTTCCAAAGGCAGAGTCCAATGGCTGCAATCTGATGTATCGGCTTTATGGAACGAATGGGCCACGAAAATACGGGACAATATCACTGGGAGGGTGAATTCAAACATTCAACGCCAACTTTACGATCTAGGTTCGCGACCTAGCCTATCGCTTCCTCTGACCTACCACTCGATTGGGACTTTCAGCGGTAAGACGTCAAGGTATACGAGGAGATTCAGTATGTATACGGTCTACGCACTCAGAAGATTTCGAAAATAGATCACCCCTAAGAAACACCCCCTTTGTTTGCAAAGCATCCCTAAGTACGTTTCTTAGACAAGAAATGCTGAAATTTATTTTGGCTTGAAAGACCTAGCCTTTTATCAATACATTTCAAATTTGCGATTACCAGGCTATCATATGCCATGCCTGGATTACCCCCATGAGCCAGCACGTGCAGCAAGGCTCTGCAGAAGCGAAACTATCTCGATGCTCCCCTTTTTCTAGCTTGGTCCAGGGGAGATACACCATCATTGTCTGGAATCTCAGGCTCCAGATCCGTCAGCTGCGCCAGTTGAAGGACCAGTCTTTTGTGGCCATTATTTGCAGCATGCCACAGTAGCGAGCGGCCTCTCTGGTCTCGCTCATTTACAAGAGAATTCATACTTGAAAGTAAAAGATCTGTGATCTCGTTTCTCTTCGGGCTCAGACCGTCGTATGACATGGTAGCTAGGAGAAGTGCACTATTCCCCATGGAGTCGAGATGGTTGACGTCAATGTGCTCATGATTTAAGAGAATTTGTATTGCAACGGGGTCGTCGTATATGACAGCCAGATGAAGTGCGGTGTATCCTCGGTCATTTTGAATGTTGATATTAAGTCGCAGATCTTTCAGAAGGATCCTTAAGATCTCGTGTTGTTGATATTCGAGGGCTATCAGGATTGGAGGTTGAGATTTTGGACTTCGACCATTGATATCAGTATCATATCGACGAAGTAGCTTTCGAACGGTTGGTAGTTCTCCTTGCATGATAGCAAAGCAGGGCGGCTTGTGCCCATTGTTTGGGGTAAGAGACATCTAGAGACTTGCCGCATGGCAATAGACCAACAAGACAAGAGGCTTTTTGACGCGCTGATCTCATCAGACGGATTAGCTGCCTTTGGTCGTACTTATGCTTGAATAAGTAGAGGTGACTCACGAACGAAAGGAGGGGGGCACGCCATGTTTTAGAAAAGGATGAGATTATCGCGCTATTTTTTCGCTAGATGATTTGTATCTCAACAAAGGAGATCTCGTTGCTGTATCATGCAACAGTTAATTCAGCACAAAGACATTCAAGGTGATATTTATAGTGAGATTTCATTCCGAGCATCTTTAACCTTGAGAATATTTGATCTGCATTCACATATTTTCACATATGAACTCCCATAGTTGGTTTGCTCCAATTTTCAGCTTTACTTGAAGCTCATCCAATTATAATATAGATCGCTGTAGTTCCCAGAAGAGATCGATTCCGCAGAGCAAGCAATTAGCTCCCAGGAATGAAGCTGTCATGGGCTAATGTATCCGTAGGTGCAGATGGTGTTTTTCGAAGCATTAACCGCCAAAAGTAGGAAACCACAAGCTGATCATAGACGCAAGACTTAGCGCGAGGCAACTGAAAAATATTTAGCTTCTTCTTGTTGAGAGTAGCAGAGATAAGCTATGTGGGACCGTACCCTGCACAAGTCGTGTATACTGAATGCCAGTCCCCGAGACATTTTAGCAGAGTTCCCAGGAAATTAGTGTGAATAGTTCATTGCGTGAGCTCAAACCTGGTGGCAAGGCAAATATTCTTAACGCAAAGAATGACGACTCTCCTCCTCCTTAGATATACTAAGGCTCCTCTGGCTTTTAATCAAGTGTCACTGTATTTAACGATCTTTATTTCGCAATCGGGACCCTCTTCTCACCGTGACATGCTATTTCAATATCTTTTGTCATGACTTTCGAAATATATTTCCAAGCACTGCTAATTGCAATACTTCTATTTGCTTTGATAGCCAGGCTGCTCCTCTTATGGGTGTTCGGAGATGATTGGCCATTTCATAAGACAGACTTGGCCCTATACGTCTTATCCTTTCTCCTGTCCGCTGTATTGACAGGGCTTTTCTGGAGCGAGAAGAAATCGATATGGATTCAAATTCTCCTTAGAATTCTTTCAACAATTCCTTCTATGCAAAATGTTCGTTATAGCTTAAGAACGCCAGTTCTACGCTTATTCTGGCCTAGTTTCTCCGCATCGACCTCCAGCAGCTCAATAATCCATTCACAAGTCGAACAACGCGTGTCGTATTCAGAATCTATGCTTTGACATCAACGGTCTTAAAAATAATATTTACGTTTATTAGAATATTCTCGCTGGGTGATATTCATTTCACCACTCCCTTCCTACTTTTCCTGGATCATCTCAGTGAAATGGCTTGGTGCCTGTGGTTAGTAAAAAGCGCCACGCAGGGCCGGAAGAAGCTGCATTTTATCTTAACCCATTTATCAAACATGGGTGCTATATTGCTAGGAGTCGCTATCTTTGGCGCGATTTCAAGAAAATGGGACATTGCACTTGAGGTGATTTTCCATCATCTAAGCTTACATCATGGGAGAGCTGACATAGGTTAGATCCAGCTCATCATATGTACTATGCGGGCGATGTACGTACAGCCAGGCTATTACGTAAAGTGTAATGTATGGCTTTATGTTCATTGGCTGAACCAGATTAGGTCATTCCGAAGGATCAGAAAATACAAATTGCCAATGATGAATCAATCATATCATTGGCTCTAATGAAAAGGGGTCTTAAGTGAAGAAAGGGGTGAAATGGCTGTAAATTTCGGTTGTGACTTTTTCATGTAGGCTAGATTTACACTATATAAAATGATTGTATACTAAGGGGCCTGGTAAAAGACAGTCCGTAGAGAGCTGCCATCCTACAATGCCAGCCCGCTTAACTCTATTTCCTGTCTTAGGCTTGACACAGAAGATGGATATAACTTTAGATGATCACAATGACACAGCCGAGCACAGCAGTAAGTCTACAGCTCTGGCGCTGAAGCTATTGTTAATCGAAGAAATTCAGGGTAAGAGAAGAAGATTGGTACATTACGATCAGTCTGGGCGACAAGGGAATACATCGTGGGATGAGGATTTACAGATCAGGAAGCAAGCCGCACTATCAGAAATAGCTACGAGATGTCTACATATACAATCAAGTTGATTTAATATCAACTTGGCTCTAAATTGTATATATAGCCTTATATTTCTTCAAGAACTAATAATACGATTTATACCTCTAAACAACAAAAATCTATTCTACTGGGTCAAATTGCTTACGCGGCAGTCTTCTCCGCGTGACAGACTAAAAGTGTTGATGCATTCGAGTCATTCACGGCACCGAGTGTCCCATTATCTCTTGGACTATATCAGTTATATCATTGGCATCCAACGACAGCGTGTATATCGATAATCACAGGCTTCTGGCCTGAGGCGTCCCCAGGCATTCATGGCTCTGATTGGCTTAGATCTCTTTGCAGCGGTACCCAATTTTATATATCGACTTAGTTCCCGAGAATTCGATGCAGGTACTGCTGGTAGGCTATCCAGTTATAGTAGGTGTAATGGTGGGCTTAGGCTCCCAGGAGCTCTTAGCAAAATTTAGACCAACCATTTCCACTGGGGCTTTGTAGTACATATGGACATCGATTGGCTGATTATTCCTCAGTAAATGTCTTTCTATAAATAGTGTCCAATGATCACACTGATGACGGGCTGTTCAGCTAGGGTAGGTGTAGTTTTGGCTTTGGCTCCCAGGAACTTATAGACAAATTTGGACCTATCATTTCTACGGAGGCTTTGTGGCACATATGGATTAGTCATGGCACCGATTAGCTCATTATTCCTCCTCTCTATTAGTGGTATCCAATGATCGCATTAATATTTACGATCTACAGGCTCCTGGGAGCCAAGGCCAGTTATTAACCAATAATTTCAAAGACGACTTGTGAGCATGTGGGCTATTGATGGCACTAATTAGCTTATATTTCCGAGTAGTAGTACCCACCTGCATCCGCTTCGTTCCCAGGAGTTTGATGCAGGTAATGCCTTTGCAAAGACGCGGCTGACCGCAGAGGTTTGTTATTCAAAAACGTAATCGAACTAGTGACTGGCTCACCCTACAAGAAACTCTGTTGTGAGATGGGGCTGTGCGAATCAGCCGCGCGCCGACCCATAGCTTGTATCTACTTGATATTGTGTAGGTGATGGATTTTCTCCGATATGCGAGGTAGGCAACGAAGAAACCTGCGGTCTACCTGCCTCCGTTGAGTTGTTGTTGCGGGGACTAACTCATCGCCGGTGAGTGGGATGAAATCGCACGATCTTGTCACCTTGCCCGTCGCAGTAAAGGGCGGACTAACGGTGATAAATGTTGATAACTGTTATCGGTTTTTATCTACGGTATCATAACTGTTAAACAATGCCAACAGCCAGAAACGTTTCTATTTTCTGTCTGGATCACCATACGCAAAATTTAATTCCTCTGAGAGTTGCATTAAACCAATGATGAAATGTTGAGTCAGTCATCATTGAAGAGAAGTTCGTGTTTGAGCCCTCGCAATTAAACATGATGATCTTATTGACGCAGAGTAAATGACTTGCTGAATAACTATAAATACCCGGTCCTTGGCCAGCAGTACCATCGTTCACAATAATTCCTTTGTGATTCTGGTACAAAAAGTGTCAAGTATGATTCGTCTCTACGGCTACTCTTTGGTATGGATTAACCTCCAAATCATACAATAAAATAAGCTGACCTCTTACATCATTAAAGCCTAACTTTTCTCAATAGTCAATCCTTCAAGAAGTAAGTGTAGGTACCCAATCATTTGAAACCATGCTAACGTAGAGGATACTCAATATTAGCCTATCCTCCGCTCAACACTGAGAATTTATTGAACAAACGTTTCAAGGATCTGGAGTAGTCTAAGCTAGGGGCACAGTAAGTTCCAAGCTGCCTTCACAGGGTACCTACTAATGATTGATGATAAATAGATGTCATACTTTACAAAATTCCCTACAGTAAACAGCATTTACCGACAACGTAAGTCCAAAAACTACGGCAAAATTAATCGTAGATATCATGTACTGACGGCCCTCTCTGTAGAATGGCAAACTTTCTATCGCAAGTCACTCAATGTCTTGTAAGTCACGCTTAGGCTTTTCCCTGCTCTTTCCCAACGCCCGGTACTGCACTTCGATCTCAAAATGAACGCTGGCTGTTCGGGGCTCTCCATTGTTCAGAAAATATCGCTGATGATTCTTTACACTAGACCTGACAGAGCTATGTTCCCCCTCGTCTTCGAGACTAAACCAGCTGCAACAACCTAACGGGCCAAGCCATTTAATCTCACTTCACTTACGTCTTTGTTGTTTCAGAAGAAATGATTAACACAGGCACTTCGCCTGGCGCATCAAGCAAGCCCATTTCAGAAAGGCTCGATGCCCTTTGCTTAGCCATACAGTAAACTTCCAAAGTCTCTCCATTCCTCTCTTCTACATTACCCTGTCCGAACAGAAATTAACAGCCAATATATTAGCAACTCACCATATTCTGACGGCCATGAGCCTCTTACCCATGTCCAAATTGAAGGCTTGTCGGTAGCCATAAGCCGGTCTCACTGATGACCGAGCGAGCCATCGGAGCATCCGCGACAACGAAGAGAGGCCGAGAATCCACCGCCACGGAAAAAGACAACCAACTCTTTCCCAGGTGGCATCAATCAGCAAATTAAAAAGAGCTATTGGCAATAGTCTTAAGGCCAGTTATTTCAATCCTTGATTTCAGTTGATCAAGCGTTAAGACAGCCCATCATGCCACTTCATGCAGGCTTCTGCCGCTAACGTGCCATGCTGCTAAGCCTCAGCTGCGATCTCATCGCTTGGCGACCATGTGGCGATTGTCAGGTATGGAAGGAAGCTCTAGCTAACTAGATTGGGAGTTGACTTTTCTTGCTCAGCCATTGTCATGATGGGATTTCCGGATGTACTGGCTCCGCTAACATGAATGTCCACCTCTTCTCGTGTCAGGTATAAAAGCCCCCTCGAGGGAAAGCTTGTTGGCTCGAATCACAACCATTCATTCACTGTTCACTTAGTGGGATACCCATTATGTCTACGAAATCTCTTGTGTTTCTTGGTCTGATAAGTACGGCCTTTGGACTGGCAACAAGTACCAGTCATTCCAATCTGCCGTCGTGTCGTGCTCTCCCTGGGGACGCCGCATGGCCCAAATCCCACGAGTGGGCCAAGCTCAACAAGACCATCAATGGAAACTTGATTGCAACTATACCTGAGGCTAGCGTATGCCATGAATCTTCTTTCGGAACTTTTGATTCCTCGCCTGTGCCCAACTCAAAACTACATGGGATGTGGCACTTCCCAGCCAGTGAGTCTCACAGTCTGTCCAAATGGGGTCCCATCACTGACACACGCCAGTATTTCCGCTCCTGGAGATGTTCTCAGCCAGTACTTCCAGAACTACACTTGCGTTCCCTTCACCAATGTGTCTCAGAATTGTGAGCTGGGCAACTTCCCCAACTACGTTGTCAATGTCACTGGAGTAAACGATGTCCGGGGCGCCATTGCGTTTGCTAAAAAGTACAACATAAGAATCGTGATCAAGAACACAGGACATGAGTACGTACTATACCTCTCAATTGATATTTGAACCAGAATTTACTAATAAATCCAGCTACCTGGGCAAGTCCACCGGGAGAGGCAGCTTGTCCCTCTGGACACACAATCTCAAGTCCACCGAGTACATCCCTTCCTACAGCTCCCCCTATTATAAAGGGCCCGCTGCAAAGCTAGGTGCTGGTATTGAAGGATGGGAAGCCTACGGGCTTGCCAATTCGACAGGTCACCGCATGGTTGGGGTACCTGTCCTACCGTCGGTGTCGTAGGTGGTTATACACAGGGCGGCGGCCACTCAATCCTCTCTAGCTCCTACGGCACGAGTGCCGACAATGTGCTGGAGTGGGAGGTTGTCACAGTCGACGGTCAGCACCTCATAGCGACCCCAAATCAAAACTCGGACCTCTACTGGGCCCTCAGCGGTGGTGGCGGTGGCACTTTTGCCGTCGTTCTCTCGATGACCGCTCGATTGCACACGGACAGTATAGTGGGTGGTACCCTTCTCAGCTTCAACGACTCGATCGTTGGCAACGCTGCTTACTGGGAGGCCGTGGGTGTATTCCACGCACTCCTTCCTGATTTCCTTGATGGCGGCAACTCCTTCACTTACTCCGTCGGGAAGAACTCCCTATCCGCATACGGAACAATGCCTGGTGCAAATCTCACCGAGGTCAATCGGTTGCTTAAGCCATTCTTAGCTGACCTAGCTCACCGCAATATCACTCCTTACAATACGCCACAAGTCTCACCCAACTACTATACCCACTTTTACACCTACCTGGGTCCAGCCCCCTACGGTTACGACGCTTTCTATCCTTTCACCAACAGCCGCATCATCCCTCGATCACTCGTGGCAAACTCTACCACGAATGCTGTCGTCACAGACCTTTTCCGCAATATTACTCTTGTGGAAGCCTTCTCTCCCTTCTACTGCGACAGTTTCACTGTCGCCACCCAATCCCATCCGGATAACTCGTTGCATCCCGCGTGGCGCGATGGGATGCTTCTTTGTGCTCCTGCGGGCAGCTGGGACTGGAACGCGACGCCAGAGGAAATGACGGCGCGGGATGAGTATGCTGCTAAAACACTGCAGCCGATGATGGATAAGGCGACACCGGGTGGTATGGTCTATCTGAATGAGGCCAATCATCTGTACGCAGATTGGAAGGAAAGCTTCTACGGTAATCAAGTACGAGAGACTGCTGAGTGTCAAGAACAAGTACGACCCACAGCAGTTATTGTATGTGAAGACGGGAGTGGGAAGTGACCGGTGGGATGAAGACGGAAACGGGCGCTTATGTAGAGTTTAGTTGTCACTGGGAGTCGTCTATTCTGGTCTGTCGATGGCTTGGATAGAGATTGCGATGGAAAACATGGTTGAACTGTTCATAATTGCATAGGAAGATGTGCACATAATTGAATGCAATATATAGATCACAAACTCACGCCTCCATATTGATAGCCTCCTGGGCCTCCAATAGCTGCAGATAAACACCCGCAACATTCCACCGTACATCAATACTCATGAACCCCTCACGCAGGCTCCTCACCACCTCAAGGCCATGCGCTGATTTACTGCTGGTCCGCATATGGGCGCCACAGATGCGATAGGCAAAATACAGGCCCCACGGGGACATATCCTCTGGATCCCGACCCAAGAAGCATTGTCGCTCGATTAAATTTGCACTAATACGCTCCGTGATTTGTTGAAGGATAACCTTCGCTCGTCGTGGACGATAGGCCTCGATTTCTTCAACTGCATCGGATAATAACCAGGGTGTGTATAGGGCGACCAGGGCACTAAGTTTGGTGTAAACGCCTGTACAAGATAAGGGTGGCCATTGTAGTACTAACCTGTACACGAAGGTGATTTGATCATAGTCCGGGAAATCAATATTCAATGCAGCGGCTAACATTGACTGCAGGGTACGATCGAGCTGTATCCAAACATCATCTTCGCTGGTGAAGTCGGTTGAGAGGTGATAGAGAACTTGGCCCAAAAATCTGGCGGCTTGACAAAGCAGAGCAAATTTACTCATATGTCCCGTCATTGGAGACGAGAGAGTCGAGAACCTATCGGGTTTGACGGTCTAATTTCAAGATCAGCAGCTAAAAGCCAAAGATCACGAATTGACATACCCCCTGGTCCCATGCAGCATCATCTGCTGGTAAAAAGTCATCCAATTTTGGATCTGCAGTTGCAAAGGGCCGTCCCGGGCAGCCGATGCTCACAAAGCTTTTGTGTTGTTAGTATCCGAAATAAAAGACTCACGGTGGACAGCAACGAACCGGTCTAAAATGACAATAGCCCACCAGACCCTCCGTCGCTCCTCAACCTCCACCAAAGTGAGCACTCTCCGACTCGGCACCGTGCGACTGACATTAATACCCAAGGCATAGGCATACCTCGCACAGGTCCCGATCGACAAGAATGCAGCAGGGTAGATCCCGTGTCCTAGCTCATAAAGAGCAACAAGAACTCCAGCTTGCAGTACTAAAATAGAGAAACACCCTTCCACGTTTAGATAAAAATGTTTAGTTGAGTTATACAAGGCTGTCCGGGGACTACGAGAACCAGCCGGCGGGAAGGTAGTGATGAGCTTCAGTGCCAATAAAAGAAGAACAACATCGGGCCGCCAGTGGAATGAGGGCTGCAGGTATAAGTCGTAAAAGCGCTTCTTCGAGATGAAGGGCATCCATAGATGAACATGCTCGAAAAACCGCGTTGCCGTGAGCTGGATTTCATCCAAATCGCCTAGTAGTTGTATAATGCACTGCGGGACAGTCCCTGTCGCAGGTGAAGTCTCCACTAAGCCGTGCTGTAGCAGAGCCGGATCGAGAAACAAGATGGTCGGAAAGTCAATAGTCCGAACATCTGCCTGCTCGTCCAGAGGGGAGGGGTACCATCCTCGCTCCGGGCTTGAAGTGGTGGCCGAGTGACTAAGCGCATCTGGTCTCCAATACTCGCAATTTCGATTACGCCTGCGTTGGCCCGCGTTAGCTCTGCTGCTGTAATGTAATCATTCGTGTTTACTTAGCACAGAGGGAGCATCTGGGGAGTGCCTTGTCGCATTTCCTCTTGCGAGACCTGCAGGATTGGCAGGACTGGGGGGCTAGGTCGAGGCTGGGTTCATGACTGGGGGTCTGCATGATGAAGGTAGAAGGTGGACGGAGTTCGGTTTCTGGCGGGCTTTGACGGCCGCAGCAAGGAGACTAAGTGGGGAAAGATGACCGCAAAATGCGGGATGTGTATGACAGGCGGAAATTGGGCGGAGATGACCGGATCATTTGCGACCGCATTTGCGGCCGCAAAGGATGACAAACCGCGCACATCGGCCATGGACGGAGAAACTGGAGGCCGAACTATACAAAGAATGGACTCACATAAGTAGCCATAATTGTCGATTCATTCAAGTCATTATACCTTGATATTTATCTGAAAGTCTTCTCCTCTGCTTCTCAACATGGGCTCGCCAAGCCCCTACGCTGCCGCGCATCTCGACCCTCAAGGCGCCGGAGATGCACGACCAACCGCCCTTCAAATCATCAAAGATGAGGGTGCCGAAGGAAAGCTGGCCGGTAAGGTTATTGTCATCACTGGAGCCACATCAGGCATTGGTCTCGAGACAGCTCGTGCCTTGAAGACCACCGGGGCCACTCTGTTCCTCACAGCCCGCAACCGATCTAAGGCCGAGAAGAACCTCGCCGGGATCCTAGAACCCGGTCGAGTCTCGCTGATCGACTTGGATCTGGACTCATTTGCGAGTATTCGTGCTGGGGCTAAAGAAATCCTCGCCGCGTCCAAGGGCCAGGTCAACATTCTTATCAACGGCGCGGGTGTTATGGGCATCCAGAACCGTACGCTCACCGAAGATAGCATTGAGGCGCAATTCTCTGGCAACTATGTGGGGTTCTTCCTCCTCTTCCAGCTTCTGAAGGAAGCTTTGCTAGTCAGTGTGACTCCCGAGCTCAATTCGCGAGTCGTGGTCGTGGCTTCATCTGCCCACCGAGCTAGCACTCTCCCAAGTAGCGACAACTACAACTTCGAAAAGAGCGGATATAACCACGAAACTGCGTATAACAACGCTAAGCTTGCTGCGGTATATTTGGCCAACACCATTGAGCGGTTATATGGTTCCCAGGGACTACATGCTACCAGTCTCCACCCCGGCGCGATCAACACTGATATATCCCGTAATATGCCTCCGGAGTTCTTAGAGGCTATTATGACCAACCCCTACATTCTGAAGATCTTAAAGTCTTCCCAGCAGGGAGCGGCTACGACGGTGTGGGCGGCTGTGGGCAAGGAGTGGGAGGCAAAGGGTGGCAAGTATCTCGAGGACTGCAAGGAAGCGGACCGTGGTGAGGACGATGGCCAAACCTTCGGCGCCGGATGGGTGAAGCAAACATATAACCCTGAGGAGGAGGATCGTCTCTGGAAGGATTCCCTTAAGATAGTCGGACTGGAGTGAAGTGATCATTTTTCACGCGTTGATAGATGCTATTATTACAGCGCTCAAGAGAGCTAGTATGGCAATGTGATCTGTGCACAGTTGGACTTGATTTCCAGTATTGCGATGTCTTCTTCTTTCTTTTAAACAATGCTTCGTCCTTGTTGTTGGCTATGTGCCATGACTCTCGGTGTAGATAGCCGGTTCTCACCCAAACATCCTTGGTAGCTGTCGACCACATGTGTCGAGGGCGGTAGAGGGGAGGAGGTACGCCTTGAGCACCAGGTGATCGCGGTTCAGTAGCGGGGTTCGGCAGAGGAACAGTTCAAAGCACCACACGGATACCACCCGTTAGACCTGGCCGGGGGGCTCTAAGGTCCAGACCCTCCACCCGCCAAGGGTCCCTCAATGAGGGTCCCTTTTTTTCATAAGGGTGTATAAAACATAGACCTCATAACCGCCCGCGAGCCGCCCTCCGAGGGCCGCCCACTAGGGTTCCGAAAGGAATAAAGGAATGCGAATATATGTGTTGAGATAGGTAGTTGTAGTGTTCTTGTTGAGGTTACTATCAAAAGTGGGAATACATCTATTGATATGTCCATCTCTAGTCCCGCCATAAGCTTTAACCACCGCGATACTCAACACTCCCACTCGATGGCAACCCATTACCAATGGTGTCAGCGGCCATATGATCGCGGTTGCGACGGGCTCCATTAAAACCTTCAAAAACTTCATTTGTGAAGAAAGGAAGGAAAGGATGCCCTGCGCCTTAATCTCGTTCAATATAAATAAGGTGTCGCAATCACTCGATGCCAAGCCCTCTCCGAAACCACTCAAATCTTTCCCGAGCAAGGGGTTTGGTGAACCCATCAGCAATTTGTTCTGTGGTGGGGATATACTTGAGTTTGACTGTTCCGTTGTCCTGGACCTCTGCCTGCCACTTGCGTTGGATCTCCATATGTTTTGTGCGGGAGTGGTATTGTGGGTTCGAGGAGAGCGCAATGGCTCCTTGGTTATCCCCGCAGATGATCGTGGCGTTTGTTCCTTGGTTCATATTCAATTCGTTGAGAAGCCTTCTCAGCCAGACTGCTTCTTTGGTGGCTTGTGTCTGCCCTAGAAATTCGGCTTCGCAGGTTGAGAGGGCAACGACGCCCTGGCGTTTCGATTGCCAACTGATTGCTCCACTTCCAATGTTGAAGAGATACCCAGCTGTTGATCGTCTCGTGTCACGACATCCTCCCCAATCTGCATCTGTGAAGCCTTCCAGTCTCTGAGGCTGACCCTTGTACGCGAGTTTGAGGCTCTTTGTTCCTTTGAGGTACCGCAGGATGCGTTGAGCGAGTTTTCGGGGCAAAGTTTGTCGCAAAAAAAGAACCATGAATCTCTTGCCCAGTGATGCTTTGCCCTGGCATGGTTGAATATTAGCCCAGAGCCGTACATTGGCAGGTATGGCTAAGTCCATTCCCAGTGGTACAAAGTGATCCCGGATCTGATCCCACTACCTAGTTCCTGGTTTCTCTAGGCTGATTCCAGGCTGCTCACGGTAAGTCTATCCCACCATCGGTCACCAGAAATCATATTAACATAGAGAGGCTGTGAGACAGCCCTAATTCAGCTGTTCTGGTGAGTCCGATCGAGAATGTGCATTATAGCTGGTTTAAGGGGACCTCATCTAGGCCGCGAACAAGGTAAGTTGCGAACAACTATATTGCGCCAGCTGCTGATAATCGGTGCTAGATTAGGTATATCCAACGGCAAATTGCCTTGGCTGTGGCCTGGTGCAGTCGGTCATTAAAGCTGCTACCATGGCTTATTC